CCATTCAGACATCAGAATGTGCACAGGGTGAGCAAGGATCTACCATTGCTAACCTACGTGATATAGCCACCCATGATGACATGTAGCAGCTTAGTAGTATGTACATGTACTTAAGCATGTGTATACAAATTAATCACACCCACTGCGCCAAGGGTTAGCACTTCAGTGCCTTTCATTAGATGTAGTTTTGCACCTTTTTCTGTAGGTCCAAATTAGCTCCTGCTTTCACCATCTCCACAACAATACTAGTGTGACCACGCCTGGCTGCTAGCATCACTGCTGAGTCCCCTTCCTGTGCGATAATAGAATATTATGTGAAGGACATCAGTGCCATAGAGTAAGATATGATTCCTTGTATCTATAGTTTGTGGCAATAAGTTTCGCACCTTATTCTGTAGGTCCAACTTGGCTCCTGCTTTCACCAGCTCCACAACAACATCAGTGTGACCATTTTTAACTGCCAACATCAGTGCTGAGTCTCCATCCTGTGTGACAACAAACATTGTCTGTCTATTAATGACACATAAAACATTTCTGATACATTTCGCTGAAGGTCCAAATTGGCTCCTACTTTCACCAGCTCCACAACAACATCAGTGTGACCATGCCAGGCTGCTGTAGTCAAGGCAGAAGTCCCAAACTGTGTGATAAAAGACAGGCCCATGGTAAAAGAACTACTGGAGGATAGTCACTTTAATCAGAGAGAAAATCAAATCTCGTGGTTAGACAATATTGTTTCAGTAGCACTGTCGCTATGTCGATTATCGCAAGCACTTATTAGTAGCTATATTCATTTTAAAAAAGTGGGCCCATGAGTGGTCAGAAAAATATGTAATGCTCAGAACTTTGCCACACCCATTTTCCGTGGTCCTGTATAATTATACCGTAGGAGCATATTATAGACATTGTCTGCGTATAACATATCATGGTGGCAAAATGCCACTGCACGTAATGACGAGGAACATTCGTTCGCTCTGGGTGAAGTCAAGCACTGCTTTTTCTCCTGTTAAGAATATTATAATAGAGAAGCAATAATTATAAGCCACCTAGTGGGAAGAGATAGAACAGAGAGAGGGAAAGTTGCACCAGCGAAAATCTGTGAAAAGGGGACACATGGAGATTATGCTAATGACTTCCGAGAAATAAAATTCAGAATTTTCAGCCATGTGACTTAGACATTGACACCCACACATGCGCGCATGTGGTGCTGTTTCCAACCTGCACAAGTATTGCTTAGTAATGATGTGATCGTCAGTGGAGGGGTTCACCCTCAAAAACTGTCTCACCTCATCCTGGTGGTTGAGCTGAGCTTCTCTTGATATCAGAAGACGAACCACTTGGAGATGACCATTCCGACTAGCCCATTTCAATGGAGTCCAAAAGACCTGACGAAAACCAAGACAGGAGTATCATGAGGTGTGGAACTAACAAAAGTCCATAATTTTTATGGTTAATTTCTGTGGTTGAACATGCACACAGAAGCTAAAAAGAGGTATGTAAGGTGGGTTGCTTTTTGTGTGACTTCTGACTAAGTTACACACCTGAAACTTTGATGAGAAATACCCATGTGTCAAAAGAAAATACCACTAAAAATGCCAAAACAACGCAATAACTTTGCTAGATGGTTGCTTACACAGCATGATTAGTACCATCTCAGTGCATAATAGAGAAGGTGAACTTTTCAGTGGTTAAAATGTAACATACCTGGTCCTTGGTCTGGATGTCAGCTCCACTGTTAAGAAGAGACGCAGCTCTTATCACTTGTCCTGCTCTACCAGCAATAATCAGCTCATTATTCTGTAGAGCAAAAATAACTATGAGTGTACTGAAGTAACCTTGTGAAGAAAGCTATCTGTGCCAGTGTTTTTGAACTGTGATCCTTGCCCACTTGAGTCAGAGTACTCTGTCATGTAGCATAAGAACACATATCCATTTTATATAGCACAGTGGCAGCTTGTTTGAACCCCCCAGATGAACACGAATAGACTCTAATAACAGTGTATATTAGCATACCAATTCATATCTCTGAGCCTGTATAAGGGATAGTTGATGGCCATCCACAGTCACCTCTGTGAGAAGATGTGTGGTCATGAAGTCTGGAGTGATGGCTGCTAGCACCCAGCCCACTGCACTGGAAGGGAACCTAAGCCTAACCACCACACAGTTTCTGGACACTGCTCCAATGTAGATGCTGTGAGAGCAGAGAGTTGACTTTACAATGATCGCCTTGTTGAGCTTTCGGACTTCATGGAGGGTGTACTGGGATTCAGGCTTGTCAATCTTAACAATCATGTTGGAGAAACCGTTCATTACTTCTTCATCGACTTCATTTGGTATCGCCTTTTTGTACACATCTATGGTTGTTGCAATTTCGAACTCCTCGAGCAATTCGCAAAAGTTTTTCATTCGCTTTTGCAGTTCTTCTTCACAGAAAGCAATTACAATATGTAGCAAAATCTCATTGTTGCGATAATCGACATAGCGACAAGGTATGGCCATTATCATTCGAGCATCTTTTGCTTCAATGATATCCTTTTCATTTTTGTCAAAGAATTTGACATGGAGGGTTGCTTTACGAACAGGTAAGAGCAGAAGATGGCTGCGAAGCTCCTCCAAAATGGCTTTATTCTCAGATTCTTTGTTGCTCATTTCGATCACAACATCCGCATGCAGCTTTGAGAATGTTTTTCGAAACTCCTGAATGGTGGACTTGACTTTCTCCACAGTCCAGAAGGAAGGGGCGGAAGGGTGGTTGGGGGAGGGTGGAGGTGGGACGGGAGGTAAAGAAGATGTGGTGGTGGATGATGGGGCAGGAGACTCCTCAGAACTAGTGGCTGGTGTGGTGCCTGAAGACGCAGGGACGTGTAGAGATGAACTAGCGGAAGGGCTGGCTGGAATGGGAGATTGCAGCTGTTGCTGGTTTGTTTGGACGACGTGGCGTTTCAGTTTCTCGACTAGTTCTGCGTAGGCTGGGTCGGTGGAGAAAATGGATACGAACTCAGCAAACCAGTGGCTCTTCCGGTCCGACGGTAGGATTACAGCGAAAACCCCGTCAATAAGCTGACCCGCCTTGTGCGCGGGCGTGGCTCCGCCGCCGAGGATTGCCCGCGCGGTCCTCCGCGCAATGAAGGCTTTCTCCACGAGGCAGTTTGAAAACCACTGTAGATTGTCTCCGACCGTCACCGTGTCAGTGATGGAAGTGAGATTCGTACGAAGCGCTGTAATCTCGGGGCGCTCGCCGTTGTCGGCCATGATAACGTAGCGTAGCAAAATTGGGGCGTAGATTAGTGTCAAAATAACGCACACCAACCCCCGTTAAATATGGGTATCCAGTTTTCATGGGAAATAAAACTAGGAATGCGCACGCGCATATTTTGCCATACGCGCCTGCGCGCGTAAACGAGGCCGCTCGCGCTCGTGCGCGCGTATGGCACGCCAAACGTAACAAAAATCGGCCAAACTGTAGAGCGTTCTACATATATGTTATGTACTACGTGCGAGGGACATACCGGATTTCAATGAACCCGAGGGCCTCCGCGTTTGTAGTGTCCGTTCCTCCTTCCTTGCCATGTACATATAGATAGCCAGGCAGCTCACGCCCGCCCACAAACCCATTGAAACTCCTACGGAGTACATGACATGTTTAGTGCAGAGCAAATCAGCTCCGTATACGCGCATTGCGTTTCCAAGCACTAACATACTAACAAATCTGATTGGTCGATTCGAATCAGCTATGCACTAAAGACACTTTAGACTACGGTAACACGCAATTGACCAATCAGATTCCGAGTTTAGAGTTTAGTAACTATTTCGCAGCCCTGCGGCAGTTTCTTACGCGTTTTGGTCATGGCAACCACGCCTTCAAATCGAGAGACGCCGTGCGAGCCGAAGGCAAACGTAGCATCTGGAGAGGTTCTTTCTCACGAACACCCAGGTACTCCGTCTTCTAGAAGGAAGCGGTGCATGACTACAGGGTCCTAGCTACAGCTCGAGCCAGACGCGCACGCTAGCGGTGCCCAGCGGCCCCGCCTACTTTCGCGTTAGCGTGCCCCCCGCCTAGAACAAACACTCTACTGTTGTATATACGCCTGCTCGAAATGGATGCTGGCCGCTGCAAATAGCCTGCCTATTTCCAGTTCGTCCTCATCAAAAAAAACTCCATATAATCTGTGACCCGAGTAAGCCATCCATCCGCAATGCCGCGTGCTTTGTTGTGCGTTGCTAGCGCCTGCGCTCGCCTTGGGAACTACGCGATTTAGTGAGCCTCGGGGCCCTGGTAGTAGCGCCCTCGCTGCGCTCGGGACGCCGACAGCCCCAGGGCCCTCGGCTCACTAAATCGCGTAGTTCCCGCGGCTCAGTATACCTAGAGCGTCCCACAGACTCCCCAAATCGTCCTAGAACAGCGAACCCCTAGGCCCTATAGAGCGTCCCAGCGCACTAAAACTACTCCATACTACGCATGCGCCGTAGTATGGAGGAAAGTTTTGTTCTTGCCCCTTGACCCTTGGTTATAATTATTTGTATGTGCAGAAGGGACCAGCCCCATTGTCATGAGATTCACCAATGCTGGCTTCTAGATTTTCGTTTTCGGAGGTCACGTTCTCCCACCGTCGGCCTTATGGAAGGCGATAAGGCACGTCAGTCACTCCGCTGCAAGAACAATCCTTCCTCCATACTACTACGGCGCATGCGTATGCTCTGGAGTTTCTCCAAGACGCTCTAGGGGTTGGCTGTTCTAGGACGCTCTTGAGAGTCTGTGGGATGCTCTAGAGTTTGGCCGTTGTAGGATGCTCTATAGTAAGGCCGATTTTTGTTACGTTTGGCGTGACGACTGCGCGAGCGGGAAGCCAGACTTCTGCGCGCACGGCGGAAGCTAGACGTTCCTCCTACGAATGACGGAAGTTACACACTTCCTTTGGTGACTAATGTACATTCCTAAGCGTGACTAATTTACATTCTTAAGCGTGACCGACACGTACGTATATACCCGGAGTGTAGTGTATAGTAGTGTATAGTAGTGTAGTGTGTATATGTAGTTACAGGGGGATTCCCCAGGGGTCGTGTCCCTGCGTATACGGGAATTTCCCTACGTAACACCGCGGTGATTGGTTGATAAAACCGCGCTAATTTTGAATTTAGGGAACGAGACAACAAGGATGGATATGGCAGGTCACGAAGAGCGGGTACGGGAGCTAGAGAGGGAGCTGGACTCCCTGCGAGCTCGTGTGGAGGAGAAGGATAACACGGCGGTGCGGGCGGCCGAGCTGGGCCAGGCGCTCCTGAGAGAGAACGAGGCTCTGGAAGAGAGACAGAACCAAGTGAACAAGGAGGCCACTCTGAAAATAGAGGCAAGGGAATATCCTCAGAACTGTGTATCTGATCCTCTCTGCGGCAGGAGCTGGAGCAGGAGAGGTTCTCCCTGCAGCAGAAGAGGAGTGCCAGAAGGCGGCGTTGCAGGCGGTACAACACGAGGCAGAGTCTGCAAGCTGACCTCCGACAAGAGTTTGAGATGAGGAGACCTCAAACAGGTCCTACATATAGCAATAATGGTGTCCATTTACTGCACGTGACAATGTCGCAATGTACAAAATGATCTGTTGTGAAGCTATTCCACAGATAACGATGTAATAGTTGACGGGTGTGAATGAAATACCAACTTGATGATCCTTCTCATCTTCTCAACACCTTGACCTACTATGCACATGCAGGGCCACTCCAGAAGTAGACATGAGACGGAGCTACTGCTGTTGACCTGAGAGGGAGAGAACGCGAGCTTGAGACGTCAAGTCCGCAGCGACAAGGCGCAGGCTGAGGAGCGACTCAGGGAGATGGCTCGAACAGCAGATAGGGCCGCAGAGTCATCTATTATCAACCTCCACCCAGACGATCCGGGAGCTGGAGATGATGTGTAGCAGGTCTGTCTTGCCTGAATTTGGCTGTGGTGGTTGTGACAGTTCCCTGTTTGCACGTCTCCGTTCTATTGCAGACGTGTGTGCGTTTACTCCTTGTGACACCTATGTATGTATGTATAGCAGTCAGATTGCACTTATTTTGCGGTGTGTAGCTTGCAATTCAAGTTAAAGCTCACCTTCCCATCAAATACTGTACGTTGGTAGTAGAAAGTCCACATTTTGCCGTTTGTTATGCTGTCCTTATCTATTGTACCCCTGACAACCCTACTACATACCATCTTAACTTATTCCCTCCCCACCAGAGAGGAGTGAGAGAGAAGAGGCTCAGGCCCAGTAGCCAGTCTCCAGAGAGGACTACAGACTGCTGGAGATGGAGTTGGAGGAGGCAGCGGGGAAGGTGGCGAGACTGACTGACGAGTGTCAGTGAGAGATCCGACCAGGCCACCACGTGTACAAGACACTCTCAGGTACTACCATTGATAGTGATGAATACGTATGTGTAAACAATCGTACGCGAAACCATGTTTGGATGTTAACAGTGGGATGTTGCGAGTAAAGACCAAAACACACTCACACGCTAGGTGTTGTGACTGTCTTCGAGTGCCCTGCTCATAGACACAGCGCGGTATTTATTGTGCCAGTGTCACCCGAAGATTTCTGTGGTGGGTGCGTCAGCTCAACCTACATGTGATCCACTTTTACCCACGAAAGGGCCAACAACCCTTCTCGTACTTTGTAGTCAAGAGCAGTGTATATTGTACCCACCAAGTGTTTCACAACTGTTGTTTGTTGCAATGTGCGATCACAGGCCAGTAAGGAGCAGGTGCTGGAGCTGAATGCCAAGCTGGAGTCTCTGAGGATGGAGAGAGGGAACAGTCGCGGGTCCGCTGGCAACTCCCTCTTCGGAGAAGTGAGGAAGACGTTGATATGATGTAGCACCCCACACCCACTCGTGCTTCAAATACGCACGTTGTATATAAAACCACCGAATAGTGGGTCTGGAGGCATAAACCCATATAGTTGTACAGAGGGAGTTTTGTGTTTATGTAGCAGTAACTTGTCTTGTGGAGTTGAAGGCTAGGTCCACAATACATTGCGCCTTGTCCGTCAGGTGGATGACAGGAGACTACAGGTGGAGAGAAAGTACGTGTCTCTTCAGGTGAAACACGACAGTCTTGAGAAACGACACAACTCCATGTCCCAGCAGTACAAGAGACTCAAGGTGAGTCCCACCCAATACAATAGCTATACAGGAGAGCACCTTCACAAAATTTCACATTTTTTTACCATCTGTGAAGAATTTCTCTGTGGATTTTTGACTCTGTGGCGAATTTTTTGCCTATGAACAAGTCCCCAGCATGGAGTAACAGTGTTCTCTCTCTCTCTCCCTGTATATACAGGCAGAGATGTCGTCTCTCCTGTGTCAGTTCAGTGTGGTGGGGGCAGATGCAGCCCACATCAAGAGACTGGAGGTGGCTCTGAGACAGGCTCAGTCCGAGAAGGAATCCCTCGTCACCAAACTACACAAACTTGAGAAACAACAGGTCTGTATATATCATAATTTTCACAACAGGTTTATATCCTAATTTCCTCACACTATTCTTTGAAAGGGGAATAACCTCTGAAAAAGGACTCTCGAAATAAAGGAAATCTCCATTAGTGGACAATTACCCATACATTTAAGGGAAGCTTCTGAATTAGGGATACTTTTGATCCCCTAAGGTATGCTTTATTCAGAGGTTTGACTGTACCAAGTAAAATTGATGTTGATTTGTTTGAACATTGCATAAACCTAGATGCGTATTATGCAGCTTTCCCACTCTTCAGTGAAAACAGAAAAAGGACTGCTAAAATGTTGTATTCTCCTCTGTCTCACTCATGCAGGCGAGTGTGTTGGCAAGTCAGGAGAGGCTGCAGTATGTGGCTGCATTCGGTGACAAGAGAGAGTACATTGCCATCATTGAGACTCAGCTCAGGAACGCCAGGTTGGACAACTACACCTGTAGCTACAACAACTGAAGATTAATGTATATGCATAGCACATGCACGAAACTCTGTCTTTGCATTTCATTGCATGGTTCTAGTCCTACTTGAGTAAGCCCATTTATGTATACAGTCTAGTTTTCTATCTCATCTGTAATAATTGGTAGAAAAATGGGTGTAGAACGTAATAATAGATGTACGTATAGATTGATCCTGGCCAAACTGGATTGCTATCAGAAATTGTTCAAATCAGAATGCACTAAGAGTATTCTGGTGCCAAGTACGTAAGAACTAGGTACTAACCCCCACTCTGTAGGAAGGAGAACAGTTCCCTGACGAAGGAGAAGGAGATGAAGGGGCTCCAGCTGGTTTGGGAGACACAGAAACTACGGGAGACGGAGGGAAAACTCCACCGCAAGGAGCAGGAGATGGCACGCGGCCAGAAAGAGGTCTCCGCCTTCAAAATGAGGCTCCACGAAATGCAGGAGAATCTGGAGAAAGGTGAGAGAAGAGAATCCTGCCACAGAGTCTCTGTGAATGTGTTGTTACAGTCTCTATAGAGTGATTTATATTTTATATTATTTTTTTATATTTATTTTTTTTTCCATTTCGTTTCCATGTTCTCTTAACCTTATCCCCATTTACATTACATGCCAATTTTATGTGGACTGGAGACATTTGACCTGTCAGTGCACATAGCATTAGCTGTACTGCTGTATAATACCAACAGCAATATATCTTTGTGTACTACGTATATACTCCTTCCCCTGTGTATCGTGTGTGTATATAGCTGAGTCAAGTTGCAAGCAGCAGGAGGCCCAAGTCCAGTTGTTGGAGAGAGAGCTGGAGCAACAGCAATCATTACGGGGGCCCTCTCGCAGACGAAGCACCATCCCTCACCAAGACTCCTCTGCCACCTCTTCTTCTTCCAGGGACCCTAGCACAGGTCTCAGTAGCAGTAGAGACCAACAGTCCCAGTCTCTAGCTGGAGAACTGGCAGACTGTGACGAGAGTGTCCGAGAAGGGAAGGTGGTAGTAGAGGGAGAAGGTGGGAAGGAGAAGGAGAACAGAGTGACCAAGTCCCCCAAGAGAGAGGGAAGGAGGAGGAGTGTCAAGTTGGGAGCTATCAGTTTCCTGGAGGAGGTTGAGAGAGAGTTCGAGAAAAAGGCCAGCCAACAGGCTCCCGTGAAAAACACACAGACTGCTCTCTATGGAAACAGACTCAAGGTATATAAACCATTCAGTACCATGTGCCATTCATTGACTGTTTATATTCTGTGCAGGGTGGTTACTGTGGTGCACCCGTGTATCCAAGCACTGGACAAGTCGAAGACCAACCAATGTCCACAGCAATATGCTATGTAAACCAATGAATATCGTTTTATGTTGTACGTTGGTAATTACTCGCGCGCGCCGCAGGTCCATTCTCGACTTTTCTTTCGCTGCTTGCTCTGTTTTCATCTGCTAGCAATGGAAGTGACAGACGTAGACGGAGTTCCTACGCATGTCTTTAGTCTGGAGGCGTCTCGAGGCAACGACTCTCTCCTCTACATCATCCCTGGGAGCCCGGGATGCTCACTTCTACGTCCCCTTTGCCACGCGGCTCTTCCAGCTGGGCGGAGGAGCGTACGACGTTAGCGTAGTCTCGCATGCCGGACACTCTCCAGGGGTGTACAAGACCCCACTACCACCGTCACAGGACGAGCAAGAAACCACTAGAGACTGGTTCTCCCTGGAGGACCAAATCTCACACAAGCTTGCTTTCCTCCGAGACAGAGCCGAGCAGAAGAAAACCCTGTACCTCGTGGGGTCACTCCATTGGTTGCTACATGATTCTAAAGATGCTGAAGCACATCGCCTTCTCGAGTCAGGAAGATTTCTTTCTCTTCCCCACAATCGAGAATATGGCATCCACTCCAAATGGAGTGTCCCAGCGTCCACTGTTCACCACATATCGATCTCCTTTCACTGGCACTGTCTGGCTCTTGGGAAGCATCCCAGAGTTTGTGAAACTTCGGGTTCTTAGGCAGTGGTTCTCAAGCTCCCCTCCTGAGCACGTGGACTACATGTGCAGGGCTGTAATGAACATCGATAGCAGGAGCATATACAATATCCTCTCCATGGCTGATCAGGAAATGAAGGAGGTAGTGGACTTGCCCGTGGACACTATTAGAGAGGTTATAGACAAGCTAGTCTTCTACTATGGAGTGAGGGACAAGTGGAACAGTGAGAAAATGTATGAGGAGATGGTGGAGAGGTTCCCTGGGAAAGATATCAACCTCTGCAAGTCTGGCTACTCACATTCGTTTGTCATCGACTCCTCCCATCCAATGGCTGAATACGTTTATAACAAACTGCCAAAAGTTGAATGAATGTATATATTACATGCAGTACATCTGTTTGTGTTGATTTGCTTGATTGATTTTGGGGTCAGTGGCTGACTGACCAAAGAGGAGGGAAGTTATAAATGAGACCACTATCCCGTCCCTGCAGCAGGTCCCCTCGTTCTTCAAATACTTCCTCAATTCTTGCTCTTTTCTACCTAACACTGTGCAATAAGCCCCGTGGCAGCAATGAAGCGAGGAGACAGTGAGGCGAATAATGCTCACTGGTCTCTCACTGAACTCAGCCGACAGCATAGAGCTTGTTTGCTTGGGGGAGGAGCTGTGCGCATGCGCAATGTTTATAGGCGTGGCTGGATCACTACTAATTATAATTTATAGTATAGTGTGCGTGTGGGGGTGTGTATGGGTGCTGATCCAGCCACGCCTATAAAATTTGCGCATGCGCACAGCTCCTCCCCCAAGCAAACAAAGCACCCCATCCTCCCCCTCCCCCGACAGCAACGCAGTTTACAGATTTTTTTGTTGGTACGTTGATGCTAAATGGTTGTTGTGTGTTAGAAGGTGTTCGACTCAGTTACAGCACCCCGTTTCGAGCCGTACTGCTTGATGGCGGATCCCGGCTCAGATCAGTCGTGATCCAGTCAGACGTAGGGGGCGAGCGGCCTATAGTGGCGTATCCAGGTGCTTTGGTGCTCCAGCACCCCCCTTGCGCCACCACTTCAACATACAAAAGTTAGCCGCTCGCATGTCTAGGCTCGCTGCGGCGGCGTCCGAGTCGGCGACCTGGGACCTTCGCGCGAGCGTAAAAACACTTCTTAGCCGCGCAAGCATTGAACCCGCGCAGGCAGTTCGAAATGCAAGTCGTAGACGAATTTGCTAGACGTGTCACCCGAGGAGGCTAACATACTCAGGGTGCTGAACAATGACCGGTGTCGTCATTATGCATTTTGTGCGCGTTCGCGCGCCCCAGCACCCCCCCCTAATGTAAACGCCACACTGTGCCTAGTAGCTCAGAGTCCTATATAGTCCCAAGCTTACGACACCGTTATTTGCTTGTGTCAGCAGATTTGAGTTTCCAAATACGTATAATAATACCCCGTAGCTATAGCTATTTTTCTACGGATGTATACGTAGCTACAGCCACTGATTATTGTTACTGACCCACTAGGAAAGCTATGGCATCCGCTGCCATCTCACCTAAAGATGTTGTGAACGCTCTCCAGAAGCTCAACGATGAGCAGGCGAAAGAGCTTTTTTTCCAACTCGAAGTCCCGCTCCACATCCTCGACGGAATTACTGCTGATTACAGGGGAAACATGCGCAAGATCCACTACGTCCAGGCCTGGTTTGACAATGAAACGGAGGCCAGTTGGGAGAACATTGTAGCAGGCCTCAAACTTATAGGGATGAAAGCATTGTCCCATACCTTGGCCACTCGGCAACTTTTGTGGGGGACTCCGACCACAGCTGCTGTCAGTTTGACCCCCAATCTCTCCTCCTCTCCAGTGATGACCGCTCCAGAGGCAGGTAATCCTCAAACCAGTGGATCCACTGAGCCCTCTCTCGGTCCCGTGGCACGTCCCTACTCCCCCTCTGACAGGGTCTCCCAGGTAAGAGCCGAGATCGACCGACTCACTGACACCTTCTCAGACCTCATGTCCAACACGAGAGATGAAATGTGCGCCCGAGAAAATGCAAATCCGTCTTTTCTTGACAAGTTTCGTGATCGTCTTTTAGATCTTCCGGTTGCCAAAAAAGCTCCTCACGCTAAATTTTTTTACAAAAATGAAGATGATTTCCTCATGGCAAAGAATATGCAAAAAATGTTTGCCATCCTCCGACGCTACTGCAACTACAACAACTACGAACTACTACGAGAAGTGATCAGAAAGTTCTGTGAGGCTGTGCTCCAGCAAAGGATGCAGGAATACTGCCAGTCTCTCGAGAAGTTTGAGAAAGCGACGTTTATCGATGTGTACCTCCATGCCATTTCTGCTGGTGTCGTTCTCACCTCAGAATTCACGAAAATGGTCATGATCATCAAAAAGCCGGCATCCACTTGCACACTCCACGAAGTTCGCAAGTTGAAGGAAACCATTGCAGAAAGAGCGTCTCTTCAGTCGTACAGTGTCTACATTGGGGATATCGCAGAGAGCTCAGTTAAGCTTGCACTGGAGTTCCCTGCCAGCTGTTTGGGGTGGATACTTGGAGTCATTACTCTCGAATTCCTAGCCAAACATCACTTGCCATGGGTGGTCCTTGGTCAAAATAGTATGCTCTCAATTCTTGATTCAATTATGGAAGTCCCTCAGGAGGTATGTTAAGTGCTGTCTGTTACCAAATTTCTGCCATCACATGCAAAAAAAAACAGCCAAAGAGCATCACCAACGGGTTCAGAACTGCAATATTAATTATATTAGCTTGATGTTACGCATGGTCCTAAAAGTCTGTTCGCGTTCACCTTGCCCCCCCCAAAGTGCACTAGTCAAAACTGTTTACGCAAGGTTGCGTCATAATCGAAATATCGCGAATATTTGTGGGCAGTGGGTGTACGCTATGCCGCGCGTGCGTTGACGTGTGGTTCCGTGAGTTTTTCTAGTAAAGTCAAACAACAAACCTCTCATTCTTGCCTTTTCCTTGGTCTGGGCTCCCGCAGTAGCGGCGGGGAGAGAGGGTTCTTGCTCGCGCTGCGTTGGACCCGCGTACGTGATTGCATTTTCGTGGTCAAAAGAACGTCGCGTACTTTGCTTATGTGACATACAGCTAAGTACGTAAGTGGGCGTTGGACGCGCTCGCAAAGCAGATAAATAGAACCTACGCTCAACTATATACAACCACGCTGCGCTTTGAAATTTCGAAATCAGTCGCTATTACGGCAAATTTCCTACCGGCAAGGTGAACGCGAATAGACTTTAATACCCAAACCCCCCCAGTCTGTGCCTATGCATACAGGTCATACAGGTGTATATTAGTTGTCCATTGGTTCTTCATTAGTTGTCAGATTTATAATGTGTTAATTCTGTAGGATGAGTTCACTCACAGATGGTCGGAAGATGTAATGAGAATTGTTTCTCTTGTAATTGATATCCCAAGTGAGGATGAGGAAACCACATGTTCGAAAACATGCTCTGGTAATTTATAAAATCCGCGCGAATTTATGAAAGTGTTTTAGGTATGCAGTTGCATTTACAAAAATTATGTGCACTGGTTTTCATTCTATATAGAAACGTGTGTGAATGAACTCTAATAGGCACTAAAACAAGGCGTAGGTATGTTGTTCTGGGGCATGGCAGTATATATAGTGAATCCGGAAGTGCATGTTGCTGTTAAGCTATCTTGTTTTTAGGCACTGTGTCTACTACTTGGAATTGTGAGTATGTCATCAATATACTTGTGTCTGTCTTTTCATTAGGAGTCAGCCACTCCTCTGGACTGGATCAGTTTGTACAGCCATATCTCTCAAGTGCAGGTCCCCAGAAATGAACTAGTATGTTCTCTATGTAACTGTACTTAAACATGAGGAAATCCTCTTTCTACAGAATAAGAAGCTGATTGCTGCCAGTAACTCGGGAGATGTGGTAAGAGTTACTTCTCTTCTCAACAGTGGAGCTGATATCCAGACTGAAGACGAGGTAGCTATAACAGACACTTCTGTTGCACACCTTTGGCAACCAGAAATTTAAAAACAAGTTGCAATTGTAACTACATAGTTATTTGCATGTGTGGCTTGCTCGTTCCGTCTACCAGCTGACAAATTGCCGTGGATCCCTGAGAACATATGATATGTGGGAAATGTTTTGGTCTACGTAAGAACCATGGAATGTCCAAAGCACAATTGCACGCAATCGCGGCATACTTTTGTGGCAGAGTTCACAAAAGCAGTCAGCTGGCATGTGTGGCAAGCTCATAACCTAAAATACTTGTGGATAAAATAAGCTTTTTGTTGTGATAATTACTGTTTGGTATACGGTTACATTCGTGCACTATTATGTCTGGTCCCATATACAAATGTATAAATATACTTACTGAGTTGCATTGCGGTCATAATAGTTGTCATGGACTCCTCTGGACTGCGCCAGTATACATGGTCATCTCCAAGTTATTCGTCTCCTGATATCAAGAGGATCTGATCCTAACTATGTCAATGGGGTGAGGCAGATCTGAGAATATTACATATGTGTTATCCTGATGATTGTCAGAGTGACTAGCAGCATGCATAGCAAATTTACAAAAGTCACTATAGCGAAGATTTGAGAAATAGTGTTTTGTACATCTGTCACACAGGTTGGATTTACGGCTCTTATGAGTGCTACCATCGGTGGGAAGACTGACGTAGTAACAGATTTAATAGCTCTTGGAGCTGATGCTGACATTGAAAATCCAGTTAGTTAAGTCTAAGTTGCCATGTGTGCCACACTGTTGATGATGCAAAGACAGTTTCCCACTATAGTCATTACCAGCTAGGCTTTAATCATGCTGCACTGTGCACTAAGGCAATGCTTGAAAGTAATGTACATCTTTATATTTATGCACGCAGTATGGTGAATCAGCACTGATACTAGCAGCCAGATATGGTCTCCGTGATATTGTTGTGGAGCTGGTGAAAGCAGGAGCCAATTTGGAACTTCAGAATAAGGTCCACAACTACATTACCCTCTCTGACGCTCTCTATAAACTCGTGTTCCCTTCAGTTTCTCACTTTTACTTACTACACACTTCATAGAATGGAGACACAGCAGTCATCAAAGCTACAATAGGATATGAACCAGACATTCTGAGGGAGCTAGTGAGGGCAGGGAGTGACCTCAACCTCCAGAACCAGGTGAGATACACAGTTACTGTGGACACTGCACCACATATCATCCCCAGTCCTCCATATTAGGAGGGACTCACTCCACTAATGATAGCTGTCAGGAGTGAGAGAACTGACATTACTAACATTCTACTGGAGGGAAAACACATCAACCTGGACATTCAGGAGAATGTAAGCAGTAATGGTCTTGGGAAGTTGCATTCTACAAAGAGGCCCGTCTATACAGTCTACAGCCAGTTTTTTAAATATCTTATCTACAGAGAACAGGATGGTCAGCTCTCCACTTCTCTGCTGAGAGAGGAAACTCAGCTACCACAGAAGCACTACTCAAGGCAGGAGCTAATGCTCAGCTCAAAGACAATGTTGGTCTTTGAATAAACAACAACATTATCACTTACCTTTCTTCTTCCATCTCTCTCTCTCTCTCTCTCTCTCTCTCTCTCTCTTTCTCTCTCTCTCTGGTGAAGGGTGGGTTAACTGCTCTGGAGATTGCCGAAGTCAAGGCAGCAGAGAAAGAATCTTATTTATTTATCTGCAACGGACCTGACTACACATCACTGATATCTCTCCTGAAGGAAAACATTGCAAAAGAGTCACCTACCCTACCTAGTCAACAAGTGAGTGTATAATACTAGGGGGAGCTAGCTAATGGTGTTGATTATAAATCTTCTGTTTTTTTTTCAGGGTTCCTCTGTGGGTGGAAGTTTCTCCACCCAGCAGGACAGGTCTCCGGTCCACCAGGACACTTCTCCCACTCCCCCCCACATGGAACCTACCACCCTCTCTAAAACTGTAGGGAATCATACTACTGAATGTTTGAAACTTGTTCTGCCTCAGGTGGAAGACACTGAGACTGAGGAGAAGGAATCTGATCAGGGCACCACTGATACACAACAGGACATAGATGCTGCCCACAGAAGAGGAAGAACCCAGGAGGTTAGGGGAGTTCAATAGTGTAGTCTACACAACAGATTTTGTCTCTTTGCCCAGGCTCTGAGGAACCTGGTGACCAGGCCTGTACAGATAGCAAAGCAGATCTTCAATGACCTGGACAAACGTCTTAAATCAGTTGACAAGAAAGACCAGCCAGAAGTGATAGGTCAGGGGTCACTAGACAAAGAGAAACGGAAGACAAAGACGAGAGAAAGCCTCTTAACAATCAGACCATTGATGACTCATAGAAAATTTCACAATTTATTTAGTGATTTTATGCAGTAGCTAATATTATTATAGAAAGAGAGACATATGCCAGAAATGAATCACTCAAGGATAATACACACTATATACACAAGCATAGTAACAAGAGATCCGAAACGGGGAACAGACATCATAAGACAGAGCAGGAGGAGCAGGCGTGGCCCTTCCCCTTCTCCATCGTCTGAGTACTGAGTCTGAAGGACATCTCTGTGTCTGCCACTGAGCTGAGACCCTCGTTCTTCCTCCACAGAGCCCGGGCCATCCGCATGAAGGTGCCCTCAATGTTTGTGTTGTCTTTGGCCGAGGTCTCGACGGCATCCAGCATGTGTTTCGTGGCAGCGTATCTCTTGGCGTGATTGAAGGGGACCTCTCGCAAACGAGGTTGGCTGGTGACAGTGTCTTTCTTGGTTCCAATCAGTAACATCACAGCATCTGGACCTGCACAACAATCTTGGTCTTAAAGTGTACTGTTTCTGTTGTGGATGCGAATCTAGCTACCAAACCAGTCTATTTTCCGGTGTGGTTTTTGTTTCTTGCATAATATCAATCAGTTACTTTGCGTTTCGTTATCCATATCCATATCCAAAATCAGAAGGTTCAGAAATCCCTTACTACTCCGTATATACATTGGAGCTACTAATGCATGTATACTGAGGTGACAAGCTAACACATGACCACCACTCTTGTAACTGGACAGAGCTCTTTGTACAGCTTCCATTCTTCAGAACATGGATCATAAAACTGTATAATTGTCAAGACATTAAAAGGAGCTTCCCAACTAAAAATAGTTATGGCTTGGCTATTTATAACAAACACATGAATGCTCACCATTAGGTAGGCACCAATCACATGTCAACACACACACGTGGACTTAGTCCTTGTCTTTAGGACAAGTTCTATCAGCATCAAAGAGGTGACTACTACTACTACTACATGTGTATAGGCAGTCAGCATGCAGAGCAACGTATGACAGTCTTCGCAGGTCCACTACTATAGTCCTTACTACATACAGCTAGCAGACAACTGCATAGAGACACTAATAATTATGCTAATGCGACCTCGTGTGCCTCTAGACTACATCACACAATGCATGCACATGGATGCACACTGCGACCTTTGTCCAAATGAACTTGCTATCCAAACTTCTCCGGCAGAGTTTGTATTGGGAGGAAAAGCTATACTTATATGGAGAGAGCCTCTAGCAAAACTCAATGGAAAGTGAGTGACTTTTTATCTGCAATCTCCATACCAATGACACGCAAGTTTCCAGCTAAGTGTGACTCAGCTAAAGACAATGGGGTGATAGTTATAATGTGCTCACCAGCATATCTCTTTATGTCGTCGACCCACGAGGGTATGTGTGAAAAACTCTCCATGTTGGTGATGTCATAGGCAATAATAACTCCGTGGGCTCCTCTGTAGTAGCTCTGAGTCACAGTTCGAAATCTCTCCTGACCTGCCGTGTCCCATATCTGTAGCTACGTGCGAGCAAACAGTACCAGAGGGGAAAGGAAAAAACACAACAAACAAAAGGAGGGAGAAGAGAGACAAAACAAATGGAGAAGAGATAGCATACTCCAGTCATAAACCTGGTGCATCACATGCAGAACGTTTGTGAGCTACGTCCCTTGGTACTACAGGTTTCAACATGATGAAAGATAGGTTATGGTTATGTCACCAAGTAATAGGGGAAGTAAGGCTAGCACATCAAAGAAACATTCATACCCATGTCTAGTAATCTATGAATGCAGCCAAAGGTACTTATGGACACAGTGGCAACAGTAGCATGTACGGTACATGTATATATGCAGCATATTATGGGAGTCCTTGCATCCACACCTATAATACAGTGGCAATTTGTATGTTGCCTTATAACGAATGGTCAGAATAGCCTCCCATTGAGCTCCTTATGTCTGCCTGTATGCCTGCTCTATATATCGCCCAGCCTTCTCCATGTAGCTACAGAAACCCAATTGCTTTATACAGCATGAGATCTCCTAGGGTGCCAAGATGTCTTGGAATCAATCCAAAAACCCTCAATTTTCACAGAAATACCCTAATTCATGCCCCACAAAGCCTGTAATTAACCCCTACATGAGCATAGAGAAAACATGAGCATCGTTAGTATTCCTAACTAGCTAAAAACTACGTTACTAGCTAGCGGTGATAGCTTGTAAGTTCACACTCTACCTTTATCTTTTTCCCGTCGATATCTACGGTGCGGAGCATAAAGTCCACACCAATGGTGTTCCCGTGACGCTCTATGTAGATCCCGTGTTTGAACCGCTGGACGACGCACGTCTTCCCGACGCCCGCGTCGCCGATGAGCACAATCTTGAAGAGAAAGTGGTAGGTATCGTCAACGGCCCCGAAGTCTATTGACTCTCCCGAGCCTTCCATCTTTTGCCTTCTACTACTGGTGCCGAGCGGGGACGCAGTCCACTCAAAAGCCTAGCCATTTGTGGATATGAAGCTCGTGAGATTGGAGTGGATGTTGTGCTGAATAGAAAAGCGGTGACGCCCATGTTCAGCCCCACCCCCTCGATCGGCAATTATCCAATGCGCATGCGCGACGTCGGGAAATCGTGCCTTTTCAAGTGACCAATCAGGTTTCAGAAATATCGCGCGCGCCGATCGCGTGTTTGTGGATCAGCTGTGAGCATGCGCCTAGCACGCTATATAGTCGGTCGATCGATCGGATCGGACAAGAGAAGTGCAGAAGAGTAGTCATGGAGTTCGTACAGTCCCTAACTCATCCGCTAGAGCTATGGGCGCTGCTGAGGTTCAAATTCGGTGGAGCAACCAACCTAGACACCGTAAGCAAGCTCTAACACAGAGCAATTTCTTGAATCTCGGTGACCTGCAGGGCTCGCTCTCTGCCAACATGAGACGATGCTATGAGCTACTGCGACAGACCAGCAGGAGCTTCGCCGCAGTGATACAAGCACTGGACGACGAACTAAGGTGAAGGATAAACCATCTGTCATGCACGTTTATTTAGATGTGGTCGATCTTCACTATATTATACTGATCAGTAGAACCGTGTTTTTTTTTTTATGGAGGAAACAAACTAACTGGCTGAAAGTGTCATAACTACAACAAGTTTTACCTGGTACATATACCTTAGCTGATAGAACACTCGCCTAGAGTGCAAAGTGTCGTGTGGTGTTGTTCGCTTTGCGGTGAGACCTCGTTGACAAACGTACTTACAGAACTTGCTCGACACCAACAATTTACTTTTTCCTGGTGATCTCAGGCCTGCCATATGCATCTTCTACCTGGTGCTGAGGGCTCTGGACACGGTCGAAGACGACATGACAATTCCCAGAGGCGAGAAAGAGGGAATCCTCAGGAAATTCCACTCCCATCTCTACAATCCCGACTGGAGATATATGGACAGCAATGAGAAGGACAAGGCCGTCCTGGAAGAGTTTCCAGTAGTAAGCTAACGCACCGTACAGGGATTCTCTGGTATAAGCTCTGATATATAACTCTACAGTTTCTCCTATTTTGAAACAACATTCCTTTTTCATTTGTAGGTGGCCCATAAACTTTACCTGGTAACGTGCAGCATTGATATCGTATGCAACACGTTATTGTTGGCAAACAAAAGTTTCAGTGGTTTTACATTTACAGTGTAGACAGTGTAGTAGACAGAAAAATCGGTGAGCTTGCTTTCTCTCACCAATAAAACTGTCATTCAAATGCGTATCATTGACCTACTGGACTGTCACACCACACTCAGATATCAGGTGAGTTCAGAAAACTGGAGCCAGTGTTTCAGGAGGTGATCTCGGACATTACCCGGGAGATGGGGTCTGGGATGTGCGTCTTTCTCGAAGACAGGGTTGGCTCCATGACCCAGTGGGACGAGGTACGACTGTGTACGGGAATGAGTAGCTAGTACTGAATGTGGTAGCAGTTGATTCCAGGATGACTTGGTAGTACAGAAAGAAATGTTTAATTAGGGATTAATGCTAGGATGGTTTGAGACAAAAAAGGTTTTGCATTAGGATCAAACTGTGACTGAACTACCGAACTTTATCTCTGTACGTCTTGTATACATACAGTCTATTTCTCCCTGTGCAGTACTGTCACTATGTGGCAGGTCTGGTAGGAATCGGGCTGTCTCGACTGTTCTCGGCCTCTGGTCTTGAGGCGGAGGAGGTGGGACTCGACCACCGTCTGGCCAACTCCATGGGTCTCTTCCTTCAGAAGACAAACATAATCAGAGACTACCTCGAGGACGTTCAGGAGGAGAGACACTTCTGGCCTAAGGAGGTAATACGGTGAAACCTCTGAGTAAGGGACTCCTTGGGTACATCAAAAGTGTCCTTTATTCAAAGGTGTTTCTTACATTATATTCAATGTGTGATGCACATAACTACACCTTCTAGCATAGCTACCACTTTGGCTAAAACAACTGACATTGCCTGAGACTGATAATATTCCTTGCTACTTGGGTGCCTTGCAACCCACCAACTCTGTATGTCTCTAACTCTGCAGGCGTGGAGTCAGTTTGGGTCCCAACTGGAGGATCTGGCTCTCCCCCAACACAGAACAGCTGCAGTTCACTGTCTCAATCTGCTCATCACCAACGCCCTGCAACACGTCCCCGACGCCCTGCTCTACATGTCCCGCATTCGCAACCAGAGTGTCTTCAACTTCTGTGCCATTCCTCAGGTTAACTATCATACAGAACCCCTCTCATCGGGACGTGTGACAGAATAAAGTGTCCATATTAGTGAAGTTTATTTCAGGGGTAAATTGCACGAAAGAGCTTTCTCAGTGGAAAATTTACGATGTAATCCACTCTAGTGAATTGTTGAAGCACTTTTTTCACATCACTCCTCACAGACGATGGCGATTGCCACGTTGGCTGTGTGCTACAACAATCCCAATGTGTTTACTGGAGTTGTGAAGATCAGGAAAGGTCAGGCAGTGGCCCTAATGATGGAGTCGACCAACATGACACAGTTCCAGGCCATCATGACCCAGTTTTCTGAGCAGGTGAGCTGACAACCTTACCTTCCCAGGGGGAAAAACTTCTGTTTAGGTAGCATCTCTGTCTACGAAAGTTTCTGGGTGTGACATTCTTGGTTGTCACGAATTGGCGAAGTTTCTAGCAATAGTATACCAAGCCTTTTAGGTCTCAGTATGTAAACAGACGGCAGAACAATATTCACCTCCTATACGTACCATGCATGCCACCCCTAAACACCTCTTACTCTAGTGTAGAATTTTTTTGTTAGGTGAATGTCATTCAAGACACTTGAACACCAATGCTATATACCCCGCTTGGTTTGGTTTTGTGTGTAGGTGACTCAGAAGATAGAAGAAGAAGGTGATCCAAGTGCCAGTGATACCAGAGCCATCACACAGCAGATCAGGAACCTCTGCTGCCAGTCAAGATCACAACACCCCTCCCCCTCCTCCCCACTGTCACCCCAGGCACTCAGTCTTCCACTGGTAGGTCTAGTAATGGCTGGAGCTGCAGCCTCACTCGCCTACTGGAGCACCAACTACTCTTCCACAACCGTCTGAACAAACTGACTGCATTACCATGACGTTCGTGTTTGTGCTTTTTATGCTTGGACCACGATTAATATTGCCCGGTGTATTAATATCTCGTGGCATTCTGCTTCACGTACTCCTTTGCCTACTTTGTGACAGAGTAGTGGAAGGCCAGATCACGCACCCCAAAAGGCTGAAATGGCTGTGCTTTATATTATAATTATATTTACATGCTGTTTGTACCCATTGGTGATTTTCACATGGCAAGGTTGAGACAATTAGCAAGTAATCAAAAAAGTGACAATGTTCTTCACATTCTGTTGTGTGTCATGAATAAAGCTATGATCATCATAAGAGCACATTTGCAAAGGTGAAAATTTTTTATGTCACATTTGCTGGGTGAAAAGGTTAGTAGATGTAAGGGATGAGCCTCCAGCGAACAATCTTGCAAAACTTGTCCCAGTCTTTCCCATACTTTTGCCTGCAGTGTTCCTCGTCCCTCAGTTGGCGATGGATCAAAAGAGAAGTGAAATATATGGGATAAAAGTACGGAATAACGCTAGTCGGTCCACAGGGGAGGCACCAGGAGAGAGCCATTATGAGGTCACCCACGTAGTTAGGGTGACGGCAGATGTCCCCACCAACCGGATATGATTAGCTTCGTTCCTCTCTCTGTGGGCATCGTTTTGAGGTGGCTCACTCGGGGGTGGTTGGGGTCGCGTCGAAACACATCCTTCTGCGAATTGGACCCCCGGAAGATTACGTAACCCACAAGGTTGAGCGCTATAATACCAAACAGAGAGTAGTATGAGAGAAAAGTCGGGTGATCCACGAGATAGCGAGCCTGTAGGGTATAGGTAAATGGTACCCATGCAAGGTCCCCAAAAGCAAGCATAAACCCAAATCCATCGTGGACGATGTCCATTGTCGTGAGAATAGCCTCTTCGAACCAGAACGAATCGAGAATGTACCACGACTGGAAAAAGCACACGAGGACCATTGAGGTAGTGACGTATCCATACATCTCGTACTGTTTCACCAGCATGCAGTAGTTGATGAGGACCCAGCCTATGAGTCCCGGTCGCATCTCACAGAACAGTTTCCAGTCGAACGAACCGATGCGAGGGTTGAGCTCTCTTCCTATGAACCAGTCGTACACGACGCTTCCCGAGTTGCCGCCAAGCGCCAGGAGAGCACCGTGTCTAAACGACCGCAGGTAGAGATAGAGGGAAAGAACGAGAGAGAATACAATTGATGCGGCGGTCAACGCTAGGTAGTGGTCATACACGAAGGAAACCGGAACGCCGAAGTAGAAGTAAGCCACCAGAAAAGCCACGTGAGATACGACGAAGGCGAATAATCCGTTGAGTCTGTAGGTCAACCGACTCCCATCGCGAAGTTTGGTGCCTTCTACGACCTTCCCAATAGGGAATAGAGATAGCAGGAGCTGGAAGATGAACCAGGCGACAAACACGGCGAAAGCGTGAGAATGAAAGAGGTCTTTCCACTGCGGCAGAGACGGATAGGCGCCCAGAGAGCAGGTCTCTCGTCCACACAGTAGATAGAGGCCTATAACCACGCCGGGGAGGCCCAGGGACATGAGCAGAGTGCCGAGTGGGCCATTGAACTCGTAGTGAGTGGTCTTAGGGTTGAGAGAGCTACCGACCGCCATCATGTAGTCAGTCGAATAGAGAGGACTCTGAATTGAACAGAGTGCAATGCTCCACGTTTTTTTTGCAAAGATCAGGCCACAATGCAGTGAATCACGTTATTAGCTAGCTGCGCGCAAAGGTCAACTTTACGAGCTCCGCCCACCTCTTCGCGCGCGCTCGGTGGAGGACAGGGGGCGGAGTTTGTCCGCTAATTGCTCAATCTTCAATCTGTTTCCGCATTCCATACACCGCCAACGAACGGTGGGCGCGCGCGGGAAGTTTGATGTTTTCGCGCGGTTTGGCTCTCGCAATCACACATACTATATACGGAGCTCTCCATCTCTCTCTCTCTGCTGTAACTAGACGGGGATCATGGAGTGCCAGGCCACGCACAGCAACGACGTCCTCTGTTCCAACGGCTACTACGGCTTTCAACCGCTGCTGAACGGAGCGGTGGCCGTGGGGGGAGGAGGGGGAGCGGGGGGTGGGTACCACGAGGACCAGACGATGTCTGTTTCAAACGGACACCTGGCCGGGGGAGGCCAAGCGCACGCGGGATCTCTCGCCTGGCAGAGGAAGAGAGGCAGGGGCGACGAGGCCGCGGGCTGTGTGAACGGAGCAGACTCGGCCGCGGCGGGCCTTTTGAACGGGACGTCAGCAAAGGCAAGTGCGGACTGTCTTTCGAATGCTTCACTCGCTGCTTTTCTGCATGGAGATAAACGTGCTAGCTAGCAAACATGCGTGAGGTAGATAGATCTATTGTGACGTTGGAAACTGGACTGCTTGTCGCTGTGCTAATTTTATTACTCTCTTCACACAGCGTCTGTGCCCAGACCTCTACCATGCCAAGTTGCAGACTGCAATGGGGCTCAACTGCAACATACCACCCTACCACAGCGGTGCCCCGTTTGAAAACGGGACGGACGGCTCATCAATCGGGACAGACAGCATGCTAATGATGACAGACGAAGGGGACGGCCCATTTGTGAATGGAGTGGAAACTCTTCATCGTGGAAACGGACATGCGACTCACCAAGACTGTGGCGACACTAGGAGCGTCTCACCTGCCTCCCAATCATACATGCTGCTCCACTAGGGCCCAGCTATGCACCATGTCACTCCAGCAGGTCAGACAAACACACCTGATAAGATGCATTTTTGTCAAGCTATAAAAGAGTGCTAATTGCTCCTGCTGTAGTGTTTAACACAGCACCACTTCTAAGAGCCTGTGCAGCCTTTTTCTAGCCCTTAGTTGTAATAGTGTGTATTTTTCGAGCTTTCTGATGTTGAAACATTGGTTATGAAAACCAGTTTTCCCTTATTCAAATGCACCTTGAAACAGCTACTGTGTATTTAGTTTCACTGAGTTTTTGGAAGTGATGTGGTTTCAGTTTATTCCAGTGGGACCTTATGTGTGTGGTTTGGTCACTGACTGGTTGGCTTTGTTTTCGGCGAGGGAATGTACCCCATGTAACGGGAGTATAATATTGCATCTCACCCTCCCACATGTTTACGGATGCACGCATAATATTAATGCATAGCATGACTGTGTGTGGCATGATGCATGACTGTGCATGCATATGGAGTATATCTCAACATTTCTCCAAGCCTTGTGCACTTTAGACCTTACCTTACTTTCCACACTCTTTCATTCTCCCTCCCTCCCTCCCCTTCTTCCCCTCTTACTTCACCCCCCCTGCTGCTCACAGTCCTACTTGCTGTCATCATCTCGAGACTGTGCCCGCTGTCTTGCCGGAGAACCTGTAAGTCACAACACACTCACCACCCACAACGCAAACAAAACCATCAAAATGACCCTCTCGCTGAGAATTTCCTGCTAAGTCTCGCTGAGAATGTGAAGCTAGAATCACATTCAGTCACATTCTTTAAAAAGGTTTTTTCCTCTCGTCCGATACATGAGTGTGTGTGTTGGGAGCTACTAGTGTTTACACTGTCTGTATGGTCTCTGTCTGTGTATAATTATATATCACCTGCCAATTCTTCCGTTCACCAGCAAATTTATTCTCACTTCTAATTGACTTGTCTTTTTCCATTTTTTCCTCTTCCCTCACCTCCCTTCTCCTCCTTCTTCCTCTACCTGCTCTATTATAGGGTCACTTGACTCACATCTTAAGATGAGACTTTTACAACTCGTAGTTCACTCATCAGTCATCTGTTGTTTTCCGTCTCTCATTCACTCCTCATTACCACCAACTATCAAGTCAAAACTCTTAGAAATTTTTAAGAATGCAAGTAAGCGTGTGAAAGTAAGAAATGGAGCTTCGTTTGCCTAATAATCACAGTTACAACTTTTATCGCTTAGTATCGTTCTCAGAATTAGAACCAATGTTGGTCCAACAAAAATTAAACCCACTGTAGTATATATAGCAAAGATTACCATGAGGTGCTCTCATATCTTTACCATTGCTGCAGGCTCCATATCTGAGTACACAGCAAACTGTGGAAAACCTCAGCAAGCTCTACTGATGCCACACCCCTCTACCGGACCCTTTTTGTCAACAGCACAGACTCGCACTCCTATTACATCATAGTGACATAATCTATAATTCATTGCAACCTCCTTCATCAACAGACTCTCCTCCCTCCCATTACATCATAGTGACATAATTGTCACCCTTATCAACAGACTCGCTCCTTCCATAGTTCATTCAACATTCATCCAATGTCACTCCCTCAGATCCACTCGTCCTGAATTCTGTTTGCCTGACAAGCATTCAGTGTAGTAAATAACTAATAGTCAATCTCAGTGGGCCTCCAAATAGGGCCTAATTGTAATGCATAATTCCGTTGTCACTCGACGGGCAGCACTCATTGTCATAACAATAATTATATTTTCACACAATTAAATGGTGAATATTGAACGTCACCGATCAAAACAATGAAATCTGATCAATAGAAACTCCACAACACAAATAAACACTATCACAAAATAGAACATAAGATTTATTATGTTAGCCCAACATGAACAGTACACAATGCATTATGATTGACATTTAATCTGTGCCAAAGATGACGTACAACACATACATACACATTTCTGTCCTATTGTATGTTGACCAATAACTTTTCAGCCAGCAGTAGGGTGGGGAGTGAGGAAGAAGTGCCTGTTACCAAGTGCAGCTATGACAGTAGCTGAAGTGTATACAGTTCCTAGGGAGAGGTGTTGGATGGTCAGCTATATCCCATCAGGGCCTTAGACTCCTCGGCCTGCTGCTGTAGTGTCTCACTCGTGTACTTCTCCAGTAGCTCCTGTATTATAGAGGAGACAATACATTTCCGACCATTCTCTCAATGGAAGCTTGAAAAACTGGGAAAAAACCGTAAGTGCAAAGCTGGAAGTACAAAGCTGGTGGAAAAACTTGGCCTGCTTCCAGCATCTCAAGCTTCTTTTCCCAGCCTATAGCTTTGCACATAAATGGGACAGTCCCACATTCACACTGATCACAGTTACGTGGGCAAGCTCATTTTCCAAAGGGAAAGACTATGAGACTATACTACAAGAGATCACAGTACACAACACTCAGTACAGAGGTCTACACTCAGACTCACCGTCTTTTTTCTTCTCACCAACATGTCTTCAACCTGCAGACAGTAGAGCACAAGGTAAGGTTTTACTTTGCAAATTGTTAAAGAGGACACGAACTAGAACTTTAACCCCTCTCCCCACACAAATGAAGTATTAAACCACAAGTGGTATACATTTATGTGATTGCGAGCAAGTGATCTCTGAGCTATATTATATACCTCTTGTTGTGAGGGGACACTGATATGAGACATGATACTCTCCCCGGTGTCTATCCCTTCCATCTCTTCCTCATCACCACTCCCCTCTGCTGCTGCCTGCTGTGAGTGTGAGTGTGAGTGTGTGTGTGTGTATGAGTGAGGAGAGAATGCAATACAGTTAAACCTCTGAATAAGGGACACATGGGGGTCATTGAAAGTGTATTTATCCTTATTCGGGGCAAGTATTATAACCAAGTGTCTTCATGCAATGCACAGCACATGTATCTGAGGGACATACTGAAAATGCCAACTATTGAGTCGCATCCCTTATTCAGAGGTAGTGCAATCCACTAACGATTACTACGGGTGTTCTGTAAAGAGGAGTGTCCCATATCCAGAGGGTCCCTTATTTCACTGCTTGTATATACAGTACATACAGTACATATTCAAGGTCAGCATTTGCTTACATCTGCCATTCTAGCTTCAGCATAAATGTCCTCTTCCTCTTCCTCCTCTGCCCCCAGTTTCCCTTCCTCCTTCAACTCCTGCCACTCTTCCACTGCCTCTGCTATAGCTGTAGCAATCATCAGTATCACACTACATTATACTGCAGTCAACCACTCAGATTTAAGTTGTACGGAAATCAACCAAACTCGTGCATTTTTAGCAGCAAAACTGTATGTAAACTGTACATGCTACAAAAAGGTTTAAAAAAAACTTTGAGGTTTTGAGAGTCATCAGTAACTTTTGTGGGCGATGACTTTTGTACAAAGAGTTGTCCTCAATACTACGATGGGTAGTGGAATTGTATTATTGCATTACACACGTCACGGTACAGCGCATACACATACAGCCAGCTCCAGTTAGTGCTGTTAGCAGCTGACCTTGTTTCTCTCTCTCTTGCTCCAGAGGGACAATGACTCCATCATCCTCATCTCTGTAGCCATAGTAGTCTGCGTCCACCATCTTGGCCAGTTCGCCCCTCGTCTTTCGGGCTGCCTTGAGCGCTGCAACACACCAACAAAGAACACAGAGAGAGAGAGAGGAAGAAGGGGGACAGTTTGTTTGATACAGTGCAACTAAAAGCGGTGACTGCATAGTTTAAAGCTATCGAGTGAGAAAATTTGCAGTAATACCATTGCTACACAGCTATTACAGCAATTTTTATCAGCTTTAAGGCAGTCTGAAAGCAAATATTGTGGATAGACCTTTGGTACAATGGAGCAAGCAACGCTTTCCCTAAGTGATATCAAAGGTCTCTAGCTATACTGGCAGCACTAGGGTATGTAGCTCACGTGCTTGTTCAAACAGATCTCTGACTCCAGGCAAATCCCTCGCTGCACCGAAATACCTGGAGAGAGAGAGAGAGAGAGAGAGAGAGATGGAACTGCAAGTTATCGACACCAACAAACACTGCTTCTCACTTGTATCCCCTGTTCCCTGGGAGGGACTTCCCCTCGTGATCCAACATCTTTGGCCCAGTTTTCTGTGACACATCAGCGATAATCAAATGTAACCTCCCCCCCTTTTCACACATTATCTCTACTCTCTCTCTCCCTCCTTCTCCCCCTCACTCCCTCCCATCTCCCTCATGATTACTACTCACTATATAGTCGGTTCCCCCGAGCTCCACGATGCGTTCCTCCCAGTGTCTCTTTTCTCTCAGGAGTTTGTTGATCTCATCGTTCAGATCTCTGATCCTGAACTCACCAAGACCAGCTGATATAGGACACAGCAACAAACAACAAACAACAAACACTGGTAATAAACTAACTAAAGACACAGCCATAATATTTTTTAAAAAAACACAACAATAATAACAACAGGCAATGAACTGCCATGTCCTTTTATACAGCAATGAGTAGGCCAACTGAATAGGAGATCGAGTTCACAGTACATATGTGGTGAACAGAGAGAGCGCGCGCTATACTAAAGTAGGTAATGAGTTTGCAGGAGAGGAAAGGTGCTCACGGTTTTGAATCTGAGAGACTTTCCTGGAGATTTCTCTGACGACTTGAACCCTCCACCTCTCTGCCTTCTTCGCGTCATCACAGTCTGTTGCCAGGTGTGGTCTCTTTGCCTACACATCACACACACACACACACAAAGTAAAGGTATAGGACTTTCTTTCGTAGTATAATTATACAAACCTTTGGTCTGAATTCCCCTTTGCCCTGCTGCATGTCATAGAAACGGTTGAGCAGCAACCTGTACAGGCAATAGATTAAGGATAATGAAGGTTTGGATTTGAAAAAGTTGGGTGACTCACATTGCTTTTTGCTGGTTTCGGGCCTGAAGGAGAAACGATGGTGGGCATGAATTAGAAGTACCATAGCAATATTTGGCCCATAACTTGAAAGAATGGGACCTAGTACTCACCATGTTGCTCTAATTTTCTCTAAGTCCAACAAACAGGCCGAGTGCTCTAGCTCCACAATCAGAAACGAAACTAGGTCGAAGGTCGTTCACGAGTGTGCTTTAATTATAGTTTTGTAGCATCCGGGCTTAGCGGCTGAGAGAGAGGAAGGGGGTGGGCTCCTTTCACATTCATAACCTGAGCGTCTCTGTGCAGAAGTGCCTATTATGTCGAGTTCTCCGCCTTCGAAAAAAATCAGGGTTGCAGATTTGTCGTCGACAATGTCAAGCAGTGAGAAGAAGCCGAAGGTGGTGGTAGTGGGCGCCGCGGGGGGAATCGGGCAGCCGCTGGCCATGCTACTGAAGCTCTCTCCACTGGTCGGGGATCTCGGAGTCGTGGACGTGGTGGGTACAGAGGGAATAGCGGCCGATCTCTCCCACCTCAAGCCCGGAGCCGTCCTGGGGCACCCGCCGACGAAAGACCCTCCGGAGCCGCTGCGCGACGCAGATATCCTTGTCGTGCTAGCAGGTCGTGCTCAGAGACCGGGGGAATCCAGGGACGACTTGTTCAAGTTCAACGCACGGATCATCACGTCTATAGCGAAGCAGGCTGCGGAGCTATGCCCGCGAGCGATGGTTTGCATCGTCTCGAATCCAGTCAACTCGCTGGTTCCCGTGTTCTCCGAGGTGTTCAAGAGCCGCGGTTGCTACGACCAGCGACGAATCTTCGGCATCAATACTCTAGACTGCGTCCGCTCCCGCACCTTCGTTGCAGAGCGAAAAGGACTGGACGTAGAAGAAGTTACTGTGCATTCGGTGGGAGGTCACTCCGGACCGACCATCTTACCGCTGCTGTCGCAGACGAAACCCGCCACGTCGTTCACGGAGAAAGAAGTTGAAGAGCTAACGTTCAAGATCCAGGATGCAGCCAACGTGGTCATCAATCTCAAAGCCGGGAAGGGATCGTCCACGCTTTCGATTGCTTGTGCGACGTACTATTTCGTGAGTCAACTGATCGAAGCTATGACAGGGAGCGAAGATGTAGTTGTAACTGCATATGTGAGATCGGATGTGATTCCAGAGCTGAGCTACCTTGCAACGCCTCTACTGCTTGGAGTAAGTCTCATATATAATAATGCCAGGATATGTACGCCATCTGTGGTAGCTAAATCTAGCACTCGGCACTCGTAATTTGATTGCCAATTTTGGAAGAATGATGCTGTAAATGAAAGGGTAAGTTCATTACCTCAGATTGGTGGGCCAGAAACACAATGCATGAGGTAGAATATAGTAAAGAGAAAGTGTATTGGTGGAGAAACCACTCTGAACTGAGGTTATATAGTAAGCCAGGGTTCATGTATACATTCTAGGCAGGTCAATAGGTCACAGTTGTCAATTTCCTTCTCCAACACCTGCACACCACATGCTCTACACTACACTACACTGTGGCATGTGTTGTTGTAGTCCAAAGTACACTCAATTCATAGCCAGACTCCTACACACACACCTGAAATATATTTACCAAATACCTCTCGTGTACACAGGCATAACTGCATGTTGGGAGTGTGACTTTCGCATGGTTTACTAATCAAACCCACTAACCTTGTTACACTACCAACAGATTCCTTGTGATTGTGGTTTAATTGTTCAATCTCTTCAGCCCAATGGTGCAGAGAAGAACCTGGGACTGGGAGAACTGAGTGAGTATGAGAGAAAGAAACTGACAGAAGTGGTGGTGCCAGAGCTAAAGGCCAACATTCAGAAGGCAGTGGAGTTCTGTGAGGCTGAACTAGGCACCAAGAAAGACTGATCTCCCAACACTACATGCATGGCAGTTATATGATAGCTGCGAAAGACAATCATTTTGTACATGATTTTTGACTAGACAGTACAGATAGTTGCAATTTTGTAATGCGCATGCGCGTGCGGTTTCCCGCGCGAACGTGCGTGCCAGCCCAAGCGGGTTGTGTATTATGGCGGAGCTGAGGAGATCAGCGCGACTGAGGGCGAAGGAAGTGAGCCGTGGGGCTCGAGTATCCAGCGTCTACTTCCCCGAGAAGCGAGCTCCGCGAAGAAAGGCCAATACAGCTAGCAGAGGATCGAGGTATGTAGAAATTTTGACCTGGCCATCTACCACAAGTATGACTCTATATACGTGGCCTAATAAAGGTGAAAGAAGCAGTGTGTCGTTTCCACAGACTGCGTTTGTCTAGAAATTCAGGAGAAAATGCAGATACATTGGGAGAGCAGAAGGTGGAGGAGAGTAGTAGACGCCGGAGCAAGAGGACGAGCCCTTATTTCCACTCTACCTCCAAGAGAAAGAGGAGAGAAGAGAAACCCAAGAAGACGCCAGTAGCGGGACCCGGTGATGTAAAGAAGGCTCCTCGTCACTTGGACTACCCAGATTTCGTCCCTCCCTCCTCCCCCTATGACCTCGTCCAGGAGCAGTTGTACGGGGAGCCATGGAAACTCCTCATTGCCACCATCTTCCTCAACAGAACCACTGGTGAGACACCTCTGCCATTCTTCACTCTACTGATTGAATTATATTCCTCCACACGCACTGACCGTACATTCAACATTGCTAACGCTCTGGCTCTCTAGCCAAGGACGGTGTGTACAAATTAGTGCATGAGCTATAATAACATCGGTCAGTAAAATGGGTAACTAATGAAGCGTACATGATATTTTTATTTCGATCTTTATGTCGTAAACAACACGTGCAACTGTTGGCCAGTGTATAACCAGCAGCTTATGAGCCGCCCGAATACAACTGATTTTAATACAGCTATCGCACTTTGTGTCCACAGGGACAGCAGCCAAGCCGGTGTTGTGGGAGTTCCTGAGACTATACCCGAGTCCAGAGCTGGCAGTGAAGGCCGACACAAGAGATCTGGCCTCTCTCCTCAACCCTCTGGGACTCCACGAGAAGAGGGCTCAGATCATAATCAAGTTTACTGGTTAGAGCATCATGCATATCGCAGCCTTCTTTCATTGGGCCTAACGTATCCTGGCAATGCATGCAAACACAAGTATCTGCATAATTGTTTTCTTTTGTATATAGCTGTATGATTTCTGTACTAATCCTAAACTGACTGTTTTGTGTGCACAGAGCAGTATATGGCTGGTGACTGGCAGTATCCAATTGAACTCTATGGCATTGGCAAGTATGGAAATGACTCCTATCGGATTTTCTGCACTCCAGAATGGAAAGAGGTATATATGATTGTAGCACATCTCCTACTACTAAAAGCGCTCTACCTCCTCTCTTCAGGTTCGTCCAACGGATCACATGCTGAACAAATACTATGCCTGGTTGTGTGAGCAAAACAACTATCACCCAACACGCACACACATACAGTTTTGAAATAATCTCATCGGGTTTAAAAAAAAAGGTATTACTTACAACATGGCGACGGTACATGGGGATTGCAATGAAGTGGGAGAGGGTATTGCGAAATGTGGGTTGCTAGGTAATCTGAGAGCCACGGAGAATGCACTGATCACACACAAGATGTCAAACATTGACTGCAGTCTCTATTATGCTTGCACCGTGCTCTAGTCATGGAGTTGAGTTGTAAAGATGTGGAAATGAGGAGGGAGGGGGGGTAAAAGAAAACCTGGTAAAAAAGGGAGAGAAAAACATTCACCTTCATTCATAGCACATTACCAAAGCTAAAGCATGGATAATTAGGCTCATACTAGGTTCAATAACCTTTTAGCTAAAGACTGCCAACTTCTGTCTCACCTAAACAGCCAGAAGACGAGGTCTACCGCCTCTTTCTGGCTCCCTTCCCCTTCTTCCCCTTGCCGCTGGTTGAGAGCTGCCCGTTCCTCCCGCCACTGGGGGAGTGGTCTTCCTTACTGGCCTCCCCTCCGCTCTCCCCCACTCCTCCGTCGCTCTCCTCGTCTCCCTCCTCCTCGGGACGAGGCGGGAGGACGACTATGGCCGCGATACAGATGAGTTGGAAGACGGCACCGACCAGGAGACCGTAGTGGAGCACGTGATCCAGCCACGTCTGTTGGAACAGCTCCTCCAGACCTTCTACAGACATCGTATCAACTCAGGACAACCGACCAGTAACGGGTAGTAGATCCACAGCGGAGAACGAGGATGAACGCACCAACCAACCCGAACGCGCGCTGTAGGTGAGCGCTTAAATATTGGGCGCTTAAAAATTTTGATAAAAGAGTCACTCCTAAAAAAGAGACCACCACTAAGGTGTTCTGAAGTTCCTCTCTAAAACCTTGAGTATCTTGTTGATGTCTTTTCTGTGAAGATGTCAAGAAAGCACATTAGCTACTAGCAGTACTATACATGTACCCTGAATCACAACATACATTTGCAGCAATAATGCTGCAATAGATAGTATGTGGAACATACATTTGCTGCGAAAGTGTGTGGAGTGGAACTGTCTGCCTCTTTAGCTCCTCAAACTTTGCCAGGAAACTGTAGGTGGCCTGTGGAGGAGAGCACGGTCACTCGGCCAGCAAAACTACATTCACGGTATAATACCCTGATATTGGTGTCCACCACAGTGTGTAGATCGTTGACACTCTCGCTGTGGAGCATCACCGACTGCTTCGCACACACCGTCATCTGCACAATTAACCCAAGAGCCTATAATCGATGGCTTAGTAACCGGACCCCTTTCATAAATGATATACATACAGTGCATGCGGGTACATACACATAAGTAGTGGTTAAAACATGAAGATGTATATACTCACAGCGTGCAGGCTGTTGTGGAGGTTCTCCATGATATAGTCGAGACTGGAGGCCACTTTCTTTGCCTGCAGCTCAAGGTCTCTCAGAGCATTGGGGTCTACTGGGGACAGCGGCCTCGCCTCATCTGGTGACTGGAGGAAGACATGTGTACAACACTATAATCACGCACTCAGAGATTGATTGTTTCCAAGATAATTTAGAGTGAGCTAGATTCGAATTGACCAATCAGATTGCAAAGCCGAGGTTTACTATTTCCCGTAGTACACTTGAAATTCATTATAGAGTGCATATATATACCTCTAGTGAAGTGCTAGAGACATCTTTCAGGTGAAGAGGAAGAGCTGGAAAAAGAAACATTAAAATCAAAATGAGAAACACAATTAAACTTTTTACATGTTCGGTGTGCTCGGCTTGAATTACTCCGCAAGAGGGGTCTCATGCTAGTGTCCCCACCTCCCCCCTCTCCCTCCCAGTCACCATCCACCTCCCCTTCCCCCTCCTCCTCTTCCATCCAGCTCAGTTGATGACTAGGGCCATCCTCAAACATCTCCAACACATCCTCTGCAACCTGTAATCATTACCACATACGAGTAAACAGATGTATCAGTATTAATGATCTATGAAAGAGAATGCATTCAGTGTAACATTCTTGAACATAGCCTTACTTTCTCAAGAAAGTTCAGGGATATTATCACGCATAATGGCAATTTTGCTAAGTGTATATAAAGGGACTGTGGCAGTATATAAGGGCTAAAATTTAGAGAGTGTTACTGCATTCTTTAACTGGGCCCTTTATATCTCCCAATTACTACATGTAAATTTAGCCCTCACGTACTGCCACTTAAACACAGAACACGCAGTAGATCAGACCTCATCTGCTGGTTTCAACATGTCGAGGTTGTGTCTCTCCTGGGTTGACTTGGCATACAGGAGACCAGGAGACTCAAATTGTGGCACTTCCATTCGTCCCCTTACCCTCCCCCTCCTCCTCCTCCTCCTCTTTTCACCATCACATAGGGGGACACACCAAGGTCGGCGGTGGTGGGGCTCTGGCATTCAGATGATGTCGCCGCAGCCGTGGCTCCTCCGTGAGTGGGCGTGGCAGTGGGTGTGGCTATTGGAGAGCTCATGTTAGGCCTGTGAGATGAGGTGACTTCTATGTTTGACGCGGGATTTCGGAGGAGCTGGTGATAGATTACGGGAGTGACTTTGAAGGTTTTCAACAGTACCACTAGAAGATACTTGTGTTGGAATTTGATGCTGTTCTGATTCCTCTATTGTCCTACTTTCTGATACATTTGTTTCGTGTTCTGACAGACTTTGTGTGCTGTTGTCCACAGTCCGAGATGATGTTGTACTGTGTTCTGATTCACTGACTGTATTGCTAGCTGACACCTGTTGGACCTGCTGTTGATCTGAATCACTTACTACATCACTGGATGATGTAATTTGGTATAACACCCCATGTTCTGTTTCTCCTACACCAGCGCTATCCCTTACAACATCCCTATCAGTTGTTCTCCCATCCTTTCCTTGAGAGGGAGTAGTCAGTTCAGACGACTGAGCTACTGAAGAGACAACAGACACACCAACATTCTCCTCCGGCTTGCGGCTTCAGAGGGAGTGAATTGTACTTCCAGTGATGTGTTCTGCTGACTTGCTAGAGGTGTTGGGTTGGACCGAAGGCTCTAACTGAGACAACGCATTGGACGACGGCTGAACAAGTGGCTCAGAGTATTCCACAGTGACTGACGTTTCTGTGTTCGGTTTGCCGTCTTTGTCCGAGCTGATTTCATCTTCTGCAAGAGCTTCCTTCAGCCTAGCTGTATCTACGAAGATGTCTTCACTGTCAAACTCTGCTCCTGCTGACTCCACGGCTTCTCCTGTATCGGCCATTACCGCAGCGAGCCCTAGCTAGGTATGTATTCAGAGGCGATGTGCTCTATTTAGAACTTGAGTTGTCACGTGACAAGTTGTCAAGGCGACCAATGAATAATACACAAACCCTCGGGAAAAGGCGGTACATTTTGCCACCCTCAGGTGCTGCACAGAGCTTTGTGGCCTCGAGCCAGCAGCAATGCGTGCGGTAAAGCTGTGGGTGGACAACGTGAGAGATAAAGACCAGAACCCTCAGTGGTGAGCTAAAACAACGTGAGAAAGATTAGCGAACCATCTTTTACTGTCGATTTGCACATTGATGCAGCATCTACGACCTTGCTTTCCACCCGGAGGGAAAGTTACTGATAGTCACTGCAGGATCGCGAGTCCTGGTAAATCTACACACCTCAAATGCACCGTTAGCTCTAGCTAACTTGAAACTCTCCACGCACTCACTGAACATTAGGTGTATGACAGCAGCGATGGGAGAGTGCAGCAGACTCTGAAAGGCCACAGAGATCTTGTCTACTGCCTCTCCTACACCAGAGATGGTAAAAGCTGATACTCTATACCTGCAGACCTGTAGTATACTCATAACTTCATTCGAGATCTAAGCAGTATATACCAATGTTCGTCCCTGCAGGGAGCAGGTTTGCGTCAGGGGGAGCAGACAAGACAGTCATCATATGGGATGCAGAGTCAGGGGAGGGTGTTCTCAAATACACTCACAACGACTCCATCCAGTGTCTGGCCTACAGTCCAGTCTCCCAACTCCTACTCAGCTGTACCTCTTCCGACATAGGTTAGGTCCTGAACCACTTGCATGTGCAACAACGAGGCGAGGTAGCAAGGCAATGGCAAAGCAAACAAATATATATACAGCCAACGCTAAATTGAATGCAGTGAATTTTGCAACCAAGTGATTATTTGCTCTGCTTGAAGTTCTTTGCTGGTTCCTTGTTCTGGCTTGAAGAACTAGGTTCTTCTCGCCAATCATAAATATTCCTGTACGGTGGCAGCTACGTATGTATAGTGTATGGGACGAACTGTGTACCATACAAGGTCCTAAGATAAAGTAATGGACTGATTCAAGAATTATCTGAACATGATATGTTTTGTACTCGCTTTCACCTAAGCAAAATACGAAGATTATGCTATGCAAAAGAGGGCAGAAATATAAAAAAAGGCCCTGGCCGGATTCGAACCAGCGATCTCCTGTTTACTAGACAGGCGCTTTAACCAACTAAGCCACAGGGCCCCTCTGATGAGTGTTGTCCTAAATTTCAATGTCTTGCACAGAGTAATCTGATTTCGCTATTATTATAAAATTATGCTAAAGTGGTGGTAGTTGCCATTTTACTAATACAATGCAGTAGATTATACGTAAACCAATTGGTGCTACTGCAGGTCTGTGGAGTCCAGAGCAGAAGTCAGTGACAAAATTCAAAGTCCAGTCTCGAGCTACAAGCTGTGCCTGGACGAACGACGGCCAGTACTTTGCCGTCGGTCTCTTCACTGGCCTCGTCTCCATACGAACCAAGGTCAAATCTCCACTCCTACGTATAGATCCATTGGCAATTTTAGTACATTAAGAGCCTCAGGATGCGTTCAAAATAGGTCACATTGGCCTGGCACGCCGTGCTGGATTGCGAGGATAGAATCTATTTCTATCTTCACAGCACGCAGCACGACATACGTATTGTGAATGTAGCCTAAGACGGTGTGTGCATCTAGTGCACAGCTGCTGTGTGAGGCTCCTTGTCCAATGGTGTGTATGTGTGTACAGTTGGGGGAGGAGAAGGTGAGGATAGAGAGACCGGGTGGCCAGCCAGTCTGGTCTCTCTCCTGGAACCCCTCCAGGTCAGCTCCCAACACTCTATCATCCCCATACACCACTGATTTCTGACTACAATTTAATGGGAGGTTCACAAATGACAAAAGCTCTTGTGTGTGTCTGCATCAGGTGTCATTGCGATGCAGAATAGCGTGAAGCAAAATAGATTTCTATTCCAGCATAACACTGCACACTACCACCATCAGCCCAGGCAAAATTACTTGCATCGAGATGTTGAACCAGACAATACTTAATGCTGCATGCTGCTGCCACAGGGAGGATCGTCATGATCTACTGACAGTATGCGACTGGGGGAAAAACACTGAGTTACTACCACCTCAGTGGAAGACAGGTACGTACGTTTTCAGAGACCAAGGAGTCCTTGAAACACAATATGTACTAATGCTTCCTTTGTGTGCATGTGAGTTTAAGTGTATTTTTGTTTGGTTTAGATTGGTAGAGACCAGGACCTGGGGTTTGATCCTTGCTGCGTCAGTTACTTCCCCAATGGAGAGTTTGCTCTCATTGGAGGCTCCAACAAAAAGGTTTGCTATATACCTGCTTTTTGTTAGCCTGAAGAGGAATAAAGTATTATACGTAGGAAACTGATAACAGATAATTGTTTGTGGTCTAGATGCTATGCCGTGGGCCAAATATTGGTGAAGACTTGGTAATAAAACTGAGTTCTTTCATCTGTGACTAATTGTAGGTGTCCCTGTACTCAAGAGAAGGTGTTCTACTGGCTCCAGTTCATAGTCCATCCGCAGGAGAGGAGGGGGAAGAGGGGGAGGGGTCTTGGGTGTGGTGCTGTAGACCACGCCCTGACAACACCCACAGCAGCACAGTTGTGAGTCACTATCTCTAAATGTGCACTGAGACTGTTAGTGAGCAGCTCAGAAAATTTTGCTCCATTGAAAAGGCGAACGTTACGCTGATCATACATTTACAGGGGTGTATATAGGCAAGATTTAGATGATTCTAGAAGTGTGAGCGAAGCATCAGAATTATAGACTGCTTGACGTGTACCAAAGAGCATGTGCTGACCTAATATTGACCTATATAGCTTGCTGTCACTGAATTGTTAACAGACACTGATACCAGTGTACACCATCCACAGGCTGTCGGATGTCAAGATGGAACAATTGCCTGCTACAATCTCCTGTTTAGCACTGTTCATGGCCTCTACAAAGACAGGTCGGCCTACCATACCATTTGTGCCAGAAATATTATGCACACTCTCATCGTGTACATTTGATCGTTTTTGCTTTGCATTTGCCTTTCTACCTCATTGCTGAGACATTCACCTCGTCCCTTGTTGGCTATGTCTGCAGGTATGCCTACAGGGACCACCTGACGGATGTGGTGGTGCAACACCTGCTGAGGGACCAGGTGACGCGAATCAAGTGCAGGGACTTGATCAAGAGGATTGCCATCTACAAGAACAGACTGGCAGTAAGAACACCCTTCTACCCTCACCACTCGGCCATGATCTTTTTTTCTGGATTATTGCACAGAAGACCTGTTGCATTCACTTTTTGTGAACTTCGCTACTACTAAATGTTTTTTTTGTCGTCAGAAAGTAACAAGCCAACGTGAAAGTTCTTCTCTGTTAGAAACCTTTCTTCTAAGACTGTCTGTATATCTGCAGGTGGCTCTGCCAGGGAAACTGCTGGTGTATGAGCTGGTGGCAAACAGCAACCAAAATCCCACCACCGCCACTACAACCACTTCTCCCGTCTCTTTCTCCTCCACTGCTCCTACCTCTCCTGTGTCCCAGAGAGAAGCAGGAGGAGAGGGAGGGGGAGGGGGTCAGTATAGGATCGTTCATAAACTGACGAACGATGTGGAGTGTAGTCTGCTGGTGGTGTGCGACCATCACATCATTCTCTGTCAGGAGAGGAGACTCATCTGCCTCAGTCTCCAGGGAGACAGAGAGAGGTACACAACAATATTGTGAACTAATGTAGTCCTTTTGGTGTCATTAATCGGCAATATAATGTTGGAAGAGTCATTGAAGTTGTACATAAGGAGCAATAAGAAATCTAGTTGGTGGTTCATCTTATATAACGTCAACATGAGTGAAGTGCATATTGTGAAATGAAAAGGATATGTTAGTGGCTGAAGCAGTGCTGTTGGTTTCCCTCTACTGATCAGGGAGTGGGAGATGGAGAGTCAGGTGAGGTACATCAAGGTGGTGGGAGGACCTCCTGGACGCGAGGCAATGCTGGTCGGCCTTCGTAATGGACAGGTAATGACTATTCTTAGCTGAGCCGGAATAATGAATGTATGGTCGTGTGTTCTTGTCAGGTGCTGAAGGTGTTTATTGACAACCCATTTCCCATACCTCTTGTCAAACAACAGAGTCCCATTCGCTGCATTGACCTCAGCGCAAGGTACACTAACATTATTGTATATACACACCATAGTCAAGATTCATAGCTAAGCTACCTATAGTAAAACATTAGTGGAGGGTCTCAGCTTATGGAGGTTAAGTTTGTAGCACCCTCTGATTATGAGTGTATTGTAGAGTGTTTTATGAATTACCAGAGGGCGTGTCCTACTGCATTACCAGAGGGTTTATAGCGCATTACAGAGGGTTAGTTAATCATTATTCCTCTTTCTCTCCAGTCGTACCAAGCTGGCAGTGGTGGATGAGAACAGCGTCCTTATGGTGTATGATGTAACCACCAGAGAGCTCCTCTATCAGGAACCCAATGCCACCAGTGTGGCCTGGAACTCAAACTGCGAGGTGAGAGAGAGGGGGAGATGTTAGGGAGAAATTCCTGTGAACTTTGGGCTTTATGGACACCGTGAAGAGTTTTCTCTCTGTGTATTCCTGAACTCCTCTGTATGAAATTAAGATAGTAAGAGCTTCTCCCAGGCTTTCTGTCATATTGTGGTACACACACCACCTCTAGTATTATGTTGTTTGTGCCTCTCTGTCTCCAGGATATGCTGTGCTACAGTGGAGAATAACATGCTCAGCATCAAGGCCTCCACATTTCCCATCCACCAGCAGAAACAAGCGGTTCGTTGGCCTTACTGGCTCACCTGGGAGCTATCTTTTCTTTCTATATCAGGGGTTTGTGGTGGGATTCATGGCGTCCAAGATATTCTGTCTCCATTTCTCTACCATGAAGACCATTGATGTCCCTCAGGTCTGTCAGTGATTCCTCCATACATGTAGCTATCATCTCATGTGTATACTGGCATGTTGTGAGTGTAAGTATCTGTCTTTGCTGCTACAGTCGGCCCCCATGGTTCAGTATGTGGAGAGAAAGCTTTACAAGTAAGTCAATTCCCCCAGTGTCTAAATGTAGTATGTTTTAATGATTACTGATGAACCACAGGGATGCCTATCGCATAGCCTGTCTTGGAGTGACAGAGGAGGACTGGAGACTTCTGGCTCTTGAGGCTTTTGAGGTCAGCTAGCTACATACTTCTCTCACAACACAATGATGTGGAATACGGGATGCAGTTATGAAATAGAGCGTAAAGTGAAATAAGAGTTTAGAGATACAGTTTGTGTTTCTGTGTTCAAATGAGCTTTTGATAGAAATTGCTCTGTGGCTTTTGAGGGGTTGCTTCTCTCTCACACACATCCTGTGTTGTTTTCCCCGTCCCCTTCGACAGGGGCTGGATCTTGAAGTGGCCAAGAAGTCATTCCTGAGACTGAGAGACCTAAAGTACTTGGAGCTCATTCACAGTATTGAGGTCAGTAGCTACCTTTCACTATACTCCCTTAACTGCCAATACTGTGTGGATGTGTGTAGGAGAGAAGAAAGAGAGGGGAGAATATCAACAGTGTGTTCTTGGCTGATTTCTATGCCTACCAGGTATTTCAGCTGCTAGCTAATGCAGCTTTCGGCCTCCAGCTAAAATCGATACTCAATTTATTCACTTAGAGCAAGTTTGAAGAGGCAGCCCAGCTGTATAGAAAGGCTGGTCAGGATCAGAAGGTATATACTAAGTTACTCTACTTTAGCTAGTAGAGAGTCTAGTTTGTCATTACTGGTGCACAGTGTTAAATAGAGTCTTTATGTTGTGAGTGCAGGCAGTGGAGATGTTTACAGATCTCCGTGAGTTTGAGAAGGCCAAGCAGTACCTCACTCCAGGAAGGGGAAGAGGGAAAGATAGAGGAGGAGGAGTAGTGGCTAATGAGTCCAGAGAACTGCTGAGCAAACAGGCAGAGTGGGCCAGGAACAGCAACGATCCTCAAGCTGCCTGGTATGGATTGAGTGGAGAACCTCTAGGCTCTAATATTGGTACCAGCGGGACAGAGTGAGGTGTCCTTATTTCAGGGGTTTAATAAATCCCTTATTTCTAAGGTTTAATGTCTAAGGAAAATAAGAGGTGTCCTAATTGGAGAGGTGTCCTCATTTCAAGGGAGTCCATGAAGGAAGCAGCATCATGGTCATTATTTTTCTCAACGTTTTGTCCTATTCAGCGATATGTATCTGACAGTTGGTGACCATCATAAGGCACTGGAGATCATGATTGAGAATGGCTGGACTGATAGGTCAGGAAACACCCATCCTTATATCGTGCTCACTCGCCCATAATGCAGGGCATTCATTATAGTATTGACATAATACGTTGTGTGCAGGATGGTAAACCTGGCCCATGATGTGGACATCTCCCAGGAGCCTCTGCTGCGACTGTGTGCTCGCCACCTCAAATCATCTGGACATGTATGTATATATAGACCCACCATTGAAAAAACTATACAGTGGAACCTCTGAACAAGGAACACTATGGGGCCAATGATTCTGTCCCTTATAGAGAGGTAGTCCCTATTTCAGAAATCTAAGAAGTATTTCTATTAGCTTAGAGTTGAAACAAGTGTCCTTTGTAAAGAGGTCGTCCCTATCTCAGCGGGTCCCTTATCGGAGGTTCTACTGGATTGTATACGTAGTAATACATGTCTCTATCCAGTATGCTCAGGCGGCAGAGGTGTTTGAGAAACTGGGAGACCACAAATCTCTGGTCTCTCTCTACGTCGACTCCTTCCAGTGGGAGAATGTTAGCTAATCTAGCATACATGTGACATAGTCATAGAATGTTTCTTTACACTTCTATGCAGGCATTTGACTTGGTTAGGAAACACCCTCAATATCGCGTAAGAAAAACATGTCTTTGTTGAGATATAGCCTAATGCCACCTAATAATGTCCCAGGGAGATGTGTATTTCCCCTATGCTGCATGGCTGATAGAGAACGATAGGTTTGATGAAGCCCAGGAAGGTGAGTTTACTAACAGACGGTACAGTAGTTAGTTAGCCCGGAACACTGTGTGTGATAATAATGTATGTTGCTCTAGCACTTTCTGTGATAATACATTATGTATTATGGATATTGTTGTATGTGTTCAGCTCTGACAAGAGCTGGGAGAGAGGATGAGGCTCTCCATCTTCTCGAGGAACTGGCAGAGAATGCCATCCATGAAACAAGGTATGTATATCTCTCTCTCTCTCTCTACTCAATCATTAGTGTTCACTGATGGATGTGTGTGTGCTGTAGATTTGAAGATGCAGGGCACTACTACTGGCTTCTGGCAAAGTCTTGTCTGAATCACGCCAAAAGAGATCGTCTTGGTCAGTACTCCATTCAAACCCTTGCATGCTTGCACACTAGCTCTACATGACACCACTAGCATTAGTGCATTATTGCGCTGGCACAGATAGCTCTCTACCTCTAGTATCATACGTAGGTGCACACATATGTAGGCATAATGGAAGAAGCGAGAACACCAGGTGTAGTTGACTTGTTTGCTTTGCCTTACCTTTCTACTGTGTCGTTGTGACACATGTATTCTGGACCTGCAGATCCCAGTGGGAGTTCAGTGGAAGTGGAGAAACATGTGTCAAAGTTCAGACATTTCCTGAGTCTCTCTGAGAGCTATCACGTCTACAGCACAGTCCACCAGTTCATTGTAAGATCTCTTCTCTTTTGCACATGACATCATACTAGCGACATCATCTAAAGTCAAAATGACAGTTATGTAATCTGTGTTGGGTACAGGACCAACCGTTCACCAATACTCTCCCTGACGTCTTCCTCAACTGTGCCAACTATCTCCTGCACAAACTCTCTGACCCCTACCCCAGAGGAATCTCCAAATTGTATCCACACATCACTAAATCATTACTCTTTGGGTTTCGGATCTTACATGTTCCTTTTTGGTGCTTTGAGCCATCCCTATACCCCCCTTTAATTTGTCCACTTGTTACTATTAGGATTTCGGATTATGCCTTGGTCCACTGCACTAATCACGTCGCAAAGATAGCTATTCTAGTAATGCAGCACACTGCAACGAGTCGCATTGCCCAGTCCTTTGCAGTGTACGTATTGTGAACCTCCTTCATAAACACACTTTTAATAGCTTCCTGTGTTAATGGTTGTGCGAGCTGAATTAGGCTTTTTGACCACTGCTGATCCAGTGCTGTTCTGTTCACTCTGGCCAACCATGCCAGACAGACTGGGGCCTTCAAACTAGGCAGACATGCTCTGGAGAAGATGCAGGTAGAGCTACACACTGCTCTTGATTGTCTTTTGGAGATCCAGGCATTATGTAATGGTACTTAGTCCCTTAGAGTGCCAGCTAATCTCCAGGAGTCTGTGGACAGAATGAGTCTCACCATCAGATCCAAACCATTCCAGGACAAGGAGGTAAGCTGCATACACATAGCTTACTCAACCTCAACTAGCTATCTACCTAC